GAAAATGGAAACCAAAGTGACCCTGGAAAAGAAATGAGTGGCTGGACATGTGAAAGCTTTTTGGCAATTGGAGCCTTATTAGACATGATGGTGTCCATAATAGAGGATGCTGGCTGCATCCAATAAATGATGTACCACATATTAATATGGCAAAACTTGATGCCATCTTGGAAAAAATAACTTCACAGAATATCCTGAGTGGATATCCAACATCCTGACTAGCAAAGTAGAGTTGAAGACTAAGATGTGAATAAGAAGAAAACTTTATATCATTGGTGCACCAATAAAGGATCTGTCTATATTTCTAAGAGGAGGTATTATGTACACTATTTACATTATGCAGACTATTGTCTTCATCTTTGTCGCCAGATTTATTACAATATTTCGGCTGTTGCACACTCCAGCCTTCTTCAGATGGTTGGAATGTTGAACTGAACCCTTTATTTTGCTCACTTTGGATAGACCGTTCTAGTTCCACATGCCAAGGATACATGGCAAAGTGGATGGATAAAGGTGTTAGTTAGATCCAGTGACTGGACCCAAAGTGTGTGAGTTCAATACCTGGTTAAGGCAAGGGAGAACTTGGAGAGGGGAATTATCAGGAGATAACTGATAACTGACATCCATTAAACATGGCACGTGGAACTAGAACAGTCTACCCCAGAGAGCAAAATAAAGGATTCAGTTTGACATTCCAACCACCTGATGAAGGCCAGAGCATACAATAGCTGAAACGTTGTAATAGATATGGCGACAAAGATGAGGACAATAGTCTGAATAATGAAAATAGTGTACCAATAAAGGAGTTTAATCTTTCTGTTAATGTCTCAATGGTGAATACCAAGCAGAACTTAACAGATAAAGTAATCAGGTGCTATAGAGATGATTCAGTCTGGTGAATAAAGAAATTGCATTAATAACACATGTATTGTTGATGTTGTTGAAAGAGTCCGGTCAAATAATAAAAACACATCAGTATCATGGATATCTTGATGTGAAAGGAACACAGTATTTTTCTGAGAGATTTTGCCCTTCCATACCAACAGTAAAAAAAAAAAAATATATGTATTTTGTGCTTCCATATCAAGTGGAGCCATTCAGTGGTAAAGAAACACAGAGCATGTCAATCAATTGATCTGGCACCAGTGCATTGGCAGATATGAAAATTTAATGTAAGCATAGGGATTAAATTCTCTATATATTTTTTAACAATTAAAATCCCATCAGAAGGTTTGTTGAATAAACAATCATTACAAGAGCAAATACCACCAAAATTTTTGTGGTCATATTTATAAACGTACCATGTGTTATTTTTGGACCATTTAGAAAATAACAATCACTCCCTTCTCCACACCTGCAAATTCGAGAAAAAGATTTTCCCAAGTCAGTGTGAAATTATTTTCTAACCAATGAAAAGCTTGCATTAAAAAAGTTCACACTTCTATGTGAAATTAGATTTTTAATCTCCTTATGGATATAAAAATAGAAGTATACTGCTTCTTGAGGTTCACAGCTAGTCCAGAAGCCAGTTTGATCTACACATGCACTCAATGGAAGAAAGGCAGCCAGCAACCACTGACTAAGGCTTTGTCCACATACACAATAGAAAGGATTAACCATTGACTAAGCCTTTGTCTATAAACTCACAAATTGAGTGGCCTAAAAAAGTTTTCAGCCAAGAGAAATAAACTACATCAAATTTCAAAATTTAGTTACATGATCCCAACTCAACATAAATAAACATTATTTAGAACTAGCATGGAGTAGGTCCTCCATTTGCTAGTTTCAGTGCTTGTATTCGATTTTTCATGGATTTGGTCAAGTTATCAACAATCGTTTGATCCAAATTTTGCTACCCCTTTAGCAATGTTTCTTTAAAGGTTGCTACTGATGTGATTTTGGTTGCACGCTCTCAAAGTTTTCGGTGACGGTGCTCCCAAACGTGCTCTATTGCATTCATGTCAGGACTTTGGGCTAACCATGGCAATAACTTGATTCCTTGCGATTCTCTCTAGACCTTTGCTACTTTGCACATATGACAGGCCACTCCATCTTCTTGAAAAAGGTAGACATTGTTCTGTCTGTATCTTCTCATTCTAATTGGTTTCAGATCGTGGAAATAGTCCTTTTTCTAATATTTGACAGTATTTTGGACCATTCAACCACTTATCAATAAGAATCAACTCAGATTTCCCTCCAAACCAGGCAGTAGCGCACACTATTACTCCAATCCCTCCATGTTTCACGGTTGCCTGCAGACATTCAGTGTTCCAAGTCTCATTCTAATTTCTCTGAACATAAACCTGTCTTGAATTTGAATATTGGCAGAATTTACTTTCATCTGACCAAATTACAGACTGCTAAAATTCATAAACTTTGCTCTCGAATTCTCTCGCCCAGTCCATACGTCTGTTCCTGTTAACCTCAGAAATTAAGGGCTTCATTCTTGCAACTCTTCTTTGATAGCCTAACTCTTTCAGAGTCTTTCTCACTGCATATGGCGACATTTCCATGCTGTTGGCGACATCTTTGACACTCTGATGATGGTTTCTGATGACTTCCCTCTTCAATGCCCTTTCTTGTTCACTCAGACACGATGCTTGATCTTCCTGAATGTTGTTCCACATGACAATGGCCTTCTTCATTAAATTTGGAAAAACAATTTCTCTGACTTGCCACACTAATGCCATCCTATTATTTGCTCTCATTGAAATTCACCAATTTCCTTACTTCTGCAAACTTAAATTGCAAAATATAAGCCAGCTATTGTTCATAGATGAGAGTAGCTTGATACTAGCGCATTATATAGTCTGAAAAAAAAAAGAAGAGACATTATTACATAAGCCAAAATTGCAGTAATCAAGAGTGGCTAAAAACTTATCATAGCCCACTGTACATTAGGCTGACCATCATAAAGTAAGTCTGTCTACACATTTCATAACACACTAAGAACACTTTATAATTTGATAAAATAAACACTGCATGAAAAATTGAACATTTTATTGTATTGTAAATTTTCTGAAAAGAATATATAAATGTTATTTCAAGTGTTGTTCTGCTTTTTGTTTTCCTCTAGAAAATAACCTTTTTATTTTTCATTTAAAACATATGCTGTTTTTGTTAAATGTTTGAATTTCTGACACAGAGTTAACAAAAAACCTGGGTAGATGGATCCCAACATAAGTGTCACCTGATGCATGCTGGGAATTGATATCACACATCATGATGGCAGGTATTAATTAACACTTATTAAGTGCATTTTTCTTGATTTAGTATTCTTTATTTCAGCAAGACTATTCAAGTGACATACACTAAGTAGAAACTTCTTTTAAAGAGGCTTGAAGGCCAAGCTCTTCATGGATAATGATATTGCATTCTACAGCAATGTTGTTTTTAAAACTTTGTATATAAATGGGGCATAAATTTTCCATGTGCATCCTCCATGGGTGATAAAAAGACCATCCTACAGTATTTGACAACGGTAAGTGACACATTTGGTAATGAGCAGGTTCTTGATTGGGTGGAAGAAGAACTCTCTATCAGGCTCACTAACTGTTATAGTGGAACACACCTATTCTATAGTTAATAGACTCTCCCACCTATAATAAGTAGGAGTAGTAAGAGTAACAAGTGAGTTGCTCGCAAAGTTGCTGAGTCAGTCAATGTCGGACGACCGTTAGTTGGATATTAAAGTATCAGCCACCACAACTAGATTACTGCGTCATTACCTATTATATCAAGTTCCTAACGTTTTGTACGTTGAACCTATTTTAGGACCGACTTAGTACAAATACAAGCCTCCACTGTGAAACCACTACATAACACTAACTCCATGAAGAAGCACCAGACAGAATAGAGGTTGGAGGTACTGGGGTCATGCCATGAAATCTACTGGCTACCAGTGTATTTTTGAAAGAAATCATGTCACTAATGATATTTTAGGCAATTTTAACAATTTAATTTATTTCTGAGGATTTGCCAGTCATTTAGGAGATGGACCAGAGTTTTTATGCATTTAACATGAAAATGTAATAGTTCATGCTTAAAGGCTTTTAATCATATTCTATTTTTAGACCATAATGCTGAAAATGATCTTCTTCCATTGTCTTTTGTCTATAGTAGTAACCCAAATGTATTTTTGGACTGGTGGCGAAAGTGTTCTTCTGCTTGATGGAAAATAAAGTATAATATATATTTAAAAAAATCCACATTATAACTTAAATATATATATATATATATATATATATATATATATATATATATATATGATATAAATATATTTTTAATCTATGCTATATTTCTGTGTAAAAGTGCTCAATATCAGGGATAGAGCATATGAAAATATAAAAGTGGACACTGAGGTCAACACCAAGTGGTGATAGTGAGTTTCATGCTTCAGTGCAATCTTCAGGTCATGGTTTTAACCTCAATGTCCACCCATAATTTATATATATATATTTATATATACACATACAAATGGTACCCAATCTGACAGACTTCTGTGTGAGTCTGACCCCAAAGGATTTCCCTACTTATGGCATTTTGCCCCCCTACTCTAACTATAGTATCATATGCAAGTGATGTAGTTAATGCTCTTGAAATGTTTCAAAATTGTAACTTCTAGATATGAGGTTAGGTAAAATGTCTTAAAAAATATGTTTGCTTTAAATTAATTATATGTTTCAGATAAATGTGGTTACATTTTGTTTATTAATCAACTTGACGAGAAAGCAAACCCCAATTCTTTTTAAACAGGTTTTATCTCATTACATGAGCTGTGTAAAGAGTGCACTTGAGATAAAGATATTAGGCTAAATTTTAGCATCATGTCTTCAATGTCATGTTTAATACAAACATAAATATAAGAAATAAATAATTGATAATGTGTGGTAGGTATGTCTCACCTCTTTACAACACAGATAAACATGGCTATCTCAAGTGGTTTTCAGTGCCATTCCAACTGTCATATACATGAAATGATATTCATCACAATTTTACTAATGGATGCAGGATATGACAAGTGGAATGTGAAAATATTCTTCCTGTTGAAGCAAAGGAATGCAGTTGGTATCTCCAATATGGAGGAGTGGTCTTAATTCCTTTCTGACTTATTTTTCTTTGAAATTCTTTGTGGATGGGGGATCAACTTACCAAATTTGTTTATTAAGAGCATATTTTATATTCTTTCTTATTTTAATGCCATTTTATTTTTCATTTTGCTGTCATTTTTTCTTTCTTTCATTTTATTTTCTTTCTTTTCCTTCTCACTTTTTTATTTTAGTGCCATTTTTTCTTTGTTCTCTTTAAGTCATTTTTTCTTTATTTGTTTCTTATTAATGCAATATTTTTCCTTCTTGTTGTTGTCATTCTTTCTTTTATTTTACTTTCTTTCTTTTCTTTCTTGCTTTCTTATTCTAGTGACATTTTTCTTCCTTCTCCTTTCTTTCATTTGCTGGTCATTCTTTCTTTCATTTTATTTTCTTTCTTTTCCTTCTCTCTTTCTTATTTTAATGCCATTTTATTCTTCATTTTGCTGTCATTCTTTCTTTCTTTTATTTTATTTTCTTTCTTTCCTTTCCTTTTCTCTTTCTTATTTTAGTGTCAGTTTTCTTCATTCTCTTTGTCATCATTCTTTCTTTCATTTTACTTTTCTCTTTTCCTTCTTTCTTTTGTATTTTAGTGACATTTTCTTTTAATAATTTTGTGGTCATTCTTTCTTTTTTGTTTTCATTCTTTCTTTTTTTCTTGTTTTTTTTTCTTTCTTATCTTACTGCCATCTTTGTGTAGCTTTTCTTTTTTCTTTCTTTTGTGCCATTTTTCTTCGGGCTTTTTATGGCTTTCATTTCTTTCTTTTACTAATTTTTACATTCTTTCAGTTTTCCATTCTTTTATGTATTTTCCTTATTTTAATGTTTCTTTCATCTCTAAATTTATGCTCTTTCCATGATTTTTCTCTACTTCTTTCTGACATATTTTTTAAATCATTTTCTTCTTTCTTATTATTATACATTTAGTTTTATTTTTGGCTTATCTATCTTTATTCTTATTTTTATACTCATTCTTTTTTCTTCCTTATTTTAGTATTTTTATCTTTTTTCAAATTTTCTACTTTTTCTTTTGTTATTTTTGTCCTCTTCCCACTTTATATTTCTTTTGTTTCATTTTATTCTTTCTTTCCCTCTTCTTTACATTCTTCTGGTTTCTTTTTTTTTTCAGCTCCTTCCAGCTTTCTTCTCCTTTTCTTTCTTTATCCATTTCTCTTTTTCACTACTTCTTTCTCTCTTCCTCTCTAAACACTTTTACTGTTTTTCTCTTTTCCCCCCATATATAGATTTTTGTCTCTCTTTATCCCTTGCTCATTCATTTCCTTTGTTCTATGTTCATCATATCATATCTTGACCTTGCAAGGAAGCCTTGCACATTCATCTCCGAACATGCCTGTCAAGTATAACTTTTCCAAAATCAATCTCACTGATTTCGAAGCCACATGAGATTGAATATGAAAAGGAGAGTGGACATTTCCCATTGCATAAACTATGGTGACAAATCTAAACTGCAGTCCACAACAGCAATTATGTCACACAGCACTAATACATATAAAAGGTTACAGATATATTTTTACAAGTGGGACCCATGTAAATTCCACATGTTGTCAACTAAGATTTTCCATTATCTCATTCCTCTTCTTTTCTCTCACACTTTGCTAGTATCTTCTCATTCTATCTCTTATCCCTTCCAATACAAATTAACATTGTCCATTAAGTCATGGCTCTGCTTATCTTTCACCTTCTATCTGTATCTTCTCATTCTATCCCTTATCCCTTCCAATACAAATTAACATTGTCTATTAAGTCATGGCTCTGCTTATCTTTTACCTGTCTGTATCTTCTCATTCTATCCCTTATCCCTTCCAATACAAATTAACATTGTCCATTAAGTCATGGCTCTGCTTATCTTTCACCTGTCTGTGTCTTCTCATTCTATCCCTTATCCCTTCCAATACAAATTAACATTGTCCATTAAGTCATGGCTCTGCTGAACTTTCACCTGCCTGTATCTTCTCATTCTATCCCTTATCCCTTCCAATACAAATTAACATTGTCCATTAAGTCATGGCTCTGCTTAACTTTCACCTGTCTGTATCTTCTCATTCTATCCCTTATCCCTTCCAATACAAATTGACATTGTCCATTAAGTCATGGCTCTGCTTATCTTTCACCTTCTATCTGTATCTTCTTATTCTATCCCTTCCAATACAAATTAACATTGTCCATTGAGTCATGTCTACTTATCTCTCACACTGTATCTTCTCATCTATCCCTTATCCTTTACAATGCAACTATGATTATCAAATATCTCACCTCCTCTCCCTGACTCTTTCCAATTCTTCCTTGGATTTTATCAATCTCATCCACTGAATTCTCTGTTCCTGGCTATCTTTCTCTATTTCAGAAAGACCCTAATGACCACATGCATGGCCTTGGTGTCTGTGTTTGTAAACATTTCTCACTCGTAATGGAACTCTCTCTTGAGTATCTGGACTATTCTTACATGTGCCTTCAACTTTCACTAATAAAGTCTCTTCTTCCTTTATTGTTCCTCTTTAATGTCTGTTGAATGCTAGATAGAATTTCTGCTAGGATAGATAAGGCCCTCTCTCTACACCTGTCTGCAAATATCTCTGTGTTTGGTCAATTCAATGCCCACCATGTCAGGTGGCTTAATCACTGTAATACTACTGACCTTGCCAGCATCCAAACCTTGAACTTCTCTATTACTCAATCTCTTACCAAAATAGACTTCTCCACATTTTTCCCCAGAAATACTGATGGACATGCTTCTCAACTTGATCTCTTCCTTATATCTATGCTGGATTCATTCTCTGTGGAGAGCTCTATCATCTTGGTAACTCTGACCATGTCGTTGTGTCTATAAATATCTCTTTCTGCTCTTCCATCAGTCACAAACCTCCTATTATTTTGTGATTTCCTTTGTGATGCCTCTTAGAATGATATTTTTAAGCATTCTGCTCATAAATGTGCCACTGAGGTCTCTTCCTGGGTGGAAGCCAGTATCAAAGTTTTGGTTCCAGCATAGAAATACCAAGTGAAACCTAGATCATCTCCTTGGTTCTCACCTGCCTGCTCAGCTGCAAAGCTCACAGGAATCACTTCTTCTGGCTATCCCAAAGCGACCAGTCTGATTGTAACAGATCTCCAAGAAGCAAAGATAGTATTTGCTGCTAGAATGAGACTGTATAGCCTCTCACCAGAGATTACTGGTGTACTGAACAATAGAAAATTGTCAGTCTGTTTTCACTTCAATCAATGGGAAGTATTGTGATAAGATAAGAGTACAGTGCTTCATTTAGATCTTCTCTTCCAACACTAGTCTTGACTCATCTAATGTATATCTACAAGATTTTCCATCGAGAACAGAGACTTTACTGAGTGATATGCACATAACTACATTCTTGGTTTCTGCTATCATGTCTAAATTAGATTACCAAAAGGCATTTGGATGTGACAAGATCCCTGCAAACATCCTAAAGAAATGTGTTCCTGTGCTGGCTCGTATTCTCTTCAAACTTTACAACAAATGCCTTGCTACTTCCTGCCTTCCTCTTCTTTGCTTCCTTCTGAATTATTACTTCACCTCTTTTTGGCAAAGAACTCAAGGCTCTAGTCAAGGCCAAATTGGTTAAGCACCTTACTTTGCAAGGCCTCCTTTTGGACAAACAATATGTCTTCTGTTTTATCAGGTCTATTGTGAATGTGTTAACAGCCATCATTGAATTTGTCTTTCAAGCTTGAGATAAGCTTGGGCTGTGCCTCTAGGTATCTCAAAGGTATTTGCCATGCTGGACTTCTCTTCCAGCTCAAGGGCTACAGTGTCACAGGATGAATATTTGGCCTAATTCAATCATTCGTAATAAATTGTGTACTGTATGTTATGTTGAACGGGCATGCTTCCAGATCATTTCATACTAACACAGGGATCCCCCAGAGCTCTATTCTTGGACCTACAGTTTCTAAACTTCATCAATGACCTTCCTGATCTCATCAGTTTCCAACTAGGTATTTATGCAGGTGACATTATTATTTTCTCCTGTCTTATTAGCAAATCTGACAGACCCAACAAAGTAAGGAACTGCTCTAAAAAAAAAAACCTTCCAATCTAGGGCAAAAAAAGGCTTGTAAATTTTAACAAATTCAAAACAAAACTGCTTTCATTTAGTCACCACAGAGAACCTTTTCAGCCTTCCATTAGCATGGCTGATGCTGAACTCCAGGAGTGCAACATTCTGTCTTCTTTGTTTCTCATTTTCACTGACATGAGGTGGCACAACAGTATCAAATCAACTTCTAGAGAAATTGGCACTTTGTGTCATGCCAGAAGATTTTTCTCATCAGAATTCATCTTGCACATTTATAAATCTACTGCCTTATCCTGTCAGCATGCCCACATTTTTTTAAAAACAACCAGAAGCAAAAACATAAGTCATTGTAAAACTGAATCAGGACATAGAAAGGTCTGAAAGCAATTAAAAAGCATTGTTCTGTGTCACAGATGATTGGATCAAAGTGTAGTATCTTTTCTAACAGCAGGCAGCCGGCTCATGGCTCCAACCATCAGCAGCAGTTCCAGCCAGGAAGCCGACCATCATTCTCTGCAGGTCCATCTCACCATCAGCTACCACTCCAGCAGGACTCAAGCTCCAGTCATCCTTGCCAACAGCAACGATGTGCAATAAAATTTTTCAGGACAATACTCTTCAGCAACCAGAAAACTGTTCTTTTCAAGACAATGCTCTTCAGTGACTACAAAAACTGTCCTTTTCAGGAAAAAAACACTTCAGTGACTACAAAAACTGTCCTTTTCATTACAATGTTCTTCAGTGACTACAAAAACTGTCCTTTTCATGACAATGTTCTTCAGTGACTACAAAAACTGTCCTTTTCATGACAATGCCCTTCATCGACTACAAAAACTGTTCGTTTCATGACAATGCTCTTCAGCGATTACAAAAACCGTCCTTTTCATGACAATGCCCTTCAGCGACTACAAAACTGTCCTTTTCATGACAATGCCTTTCAGCGACTACAAAAACTGTCCTTTTCATGACAAAACACTTCAATGACTACAAAAACTGTCCTTTTCATTACAATGCATTTCAGCAATTACAAAAGCTGTCCTTTTCATGACAATGCCCTTCAGCGATTAAAAAAACTGTCCTTTTCATGACAAAACGCTTCAGCAATTACAAAAACTGTCCTTTTCATGGCAATGCTCTTCAGTGACTACAAAAACTGTCCTTTTCATGACAATGCCCTTCAACGACTACAAAAACTGTCCGTTTCATGACAATGCTCTTCAGCGATTACAAAAACTGTCCTTTTCATGACAAAACACTTCAGCAATTACAAAAACTGTCCTTTTCATGGCAATGCCCTTCAGTGACTACAAAAACTGTGCTTTTCATGAGAATACCCTTCAGCAACTACAAAAACTGTCTTTTTCATGACAATGCCCTTCAGCGATTACAAAAACTGTCCTTTTCATGACAAAACACTTCAGAAATTACAAAAACTGTCCTTTTCATGGCAATGCTCTTCAGCGACTACAAAAACTGTCCTTTTCATGAGAATACCCTTCAGCAATTACAAAACTGTCCTTTTCATGACAATGCCCTTCAACGACTACAAAAACTGTCCTTTTCATGACAAAACACTTCAGCAATTACAAAAACTGTCCTTTTCATGGCAATGATCTTCAGTGACTACAAAAACTGTCCTTTTCATGACAATGCCCTTCAGCGACTACAAAAACTGTCCTTTTCATGACAAAACGCTTCAGAAATTACAAAAACTGTCCTTTTCATGGCAATGCTCTTCAGCGACTACAAAAACTGTCCTTTTCATGAGAATACCCTTCAGCAATTACAAAAACTGTCCTTTTCATGACAATGCCCTTCAACGACTACAAAAACTGTCCTTTTCATGACAAAACACTTCAGCAATTACAAAAACTGTCCTTTTCATGGCAATGATCTTCAGTGACTACAAAAACTGTCCTTTTCATGACAATGCCCTTCAGCGACTACAAAAACTGTCCTTTTCATGACAATGCTCTTCAGTAATTACAAAAACTGTACTTTTCATGACAAAACACTTCAGTGACTACAAAAACTGTCTTTTTAATGACAATGCTCTTCAGTGACTACTGAAACTGTGCTTTTCATGACAATGCTCTTCAGTGACTACAAAAACTGTCCTTTTCATGAGAATACCCT